CAGGCCGAAGAATTGCAGGCCAGACAAGAAGAAGAGCTGCAGGCCAGACAGGCAGTAAAGTTGCAGGCCAAACAAGCAGATCAGTTCAGCCCCGGACGACAGAGAGCTCAGATCAGCCCCGGACGACAGAGAGCTCAGATCAGCCCCGGACGACAGAGAGCTCAGATCACCTCAGACGGCAGAGAGAAGAGTTGCAGGACGGAAGAAGAAGAAGTTACTTGCAGTTATGCATAGAAGAAGTTGAAATCAAACCAAGCCCAAGAACAGAAATTCGTCCAAACCAAATCGAAGTGAAGAAATACGTCCAACTCAAGCCGAAGTAAATAAGCTCGTCCAACTCAAGCCGAAGAGAAGAATCAGCCGTGAACGACTGGTAGAGATTAGCGCCCAGTGTCAAAACTAAACCACACTCCGACATACAAAATTCTAGAGAGTAGGCAACTCGAAGTCTTTAAGTTGTATGATAGAAGCTTGGTGCCACAGTCCACAAAGCGGGTCAAAGTAAGAACAATTTTATGTAACGAACATTAGATATAAAGGTTGTTACCCTTTTTTTTTATCAGTAATTTTTGGCCTCGCGAGTTTTTCTTTTACTTGTGTTTTGCCACCCCCGTCGAACTCAACTTGCATACGGCCCCAATCCCTGTTTGATCCCGTCTGTCTAAGATCTAATCACAACGTGGGTAGGCAGACCGGAGATCAGTACAGTTACCCTAGTAACCAGGTGTTGGAAGGCGAGGCTGGTAATCATCTAACCAAGGGGTTGGAACGTCACACTTGGAACAGCGAAGAGCGACCAGGAGGAGCGACGTCACAGTTGGCGCCGTGACCAAAGGATTCGACCCTGGACCAAGTGGCGTCACAGTTGTCCTCCTCCTCTTCTACCAGCCTATCCCAGTTTTTGCTGCCATGTACCCAGAGTAGTTGTTACGTTGTAGGGTACTACTTATACTGACCAATTCTTTATCTAACGTTTCTGGGTCGCCACTTATGACTTTTGCTCGGTGCTGTAAGCAGCGGACGATCTCTTTCTTTACGCTGTATGGATGGTGGGAGTTGAAATTGAGGTACTGTCCGGTGAATGTCGGTTCACGGTATACGGATGTCTTAAACCCATGCTCTGTTCGAGATATTAGAACATCCAGGAATGGGAGTGTGTTTTTAATCTCTTTCTCCATCGTGAACTGTATCGAAGGTCTTATTGAGTTCACATGGTCCAGTAGAACATGAATATCTTCCTGGTGTGGCCAGAGTATGAAGGTGTCATCTACGTACCTTAACCATATAGTTGGCATTAGAGATATAAATTCTAATGCCATTTCCTCAAAGTGTTCCATGTATATATTCGCCATTGCTGGTGATAATGGTGAGCCCATTGCTAAGCCCTCATCCTGTCGATATATGTGTGATCCCATTCCTAAGTGTGTTGTTTGTGTACAGAAAGTCAACATCTCCATCAGATTATCTATTGGAATACTGATCCGTTCTTCTAGGGAAGAGTCAGAGGCCAATCTGTCTCTGACTACTGAGAGTGCCTACTCCGTGGGTACCTTGGTGAACAAATTCACCACGTCCAAGGTCACCATCTGGTTGGATAGGATGGGAGCATCTTTGATTATTTGCACGAAGTGGGTGGAGTTTCGGATACATGAAGGAGACTTTCCGATCAATGGGTCAATTATGTCTACAAGGAAGCAACTCAGAGGGTGGCACACAGAGCCTTGACAACTAACAATCGGCCTGAGCGGAATACCGTCTTTGTGAATCTTAGGGAGACCGTATATGTGAGGTAGCTTGGTGTAACGCTGCGATAACTGCCTATAAGTCTTTGGTGCGAAGTGATCCTTGTTCTTGATTAGGATCTGTGACAGTTTGCGTTCCGTTTTCATAGTGGGATCCTTTTTACTTTGCTGTAGCTACCATTGATAATGCGGTCTTCCACTTTTCTTGTATGATCTGATTTGTCCATCACTACAGTCGCATTACCTTTGTCAGCCGGTAGTATGATGATGTTTTCGTTCCTCTGTAGGGATCCAATCGCCTGCCTCTCCAGTTTTGTTATGTTAGACCTGGGCGGCTTTGCTCTCTCCAAGGCCTGTCTCACTTTCCATCTCATTTCATCCGCCTGAGACTGAGGGATGTTCAGGGCCACCTCCTCGACTCTGGCAATGATGTGCAAGTATGGCACCCGCCTGATGGTTGTGGCGAAGTTGAAACCCTTATTCAATATTGACTCCTCAGAGGCACTCAGCTGATATTGGCTGGTGTTGACTACTGCTTTCACTGGTGGATGATGGACCTTGTGTGTCCCCTTCTGATCTTTCAATTTTTGCACATGGCGAGCCTTGACTACATCAAATTGATATCTGAAGGATTTATCCAGAGTCATTTTGGATCCTTCTCTGGTCTTCTTCATTAGTAATCCTGTTGAAGAAATCCTCGAGCGTCTGGGAAAATGGAAGCTAAAAACTTTAAATTTAATTATCTAATTAAATTAAAAGCATTAGTTCCGTTTCGTCTTCAAACGAATATTGGAATAACTTATTTTTAAATTTATTGAGTTTTAAACGCACATAAAAATTCATAATTTACTGTTTCCAAAGATGTCTGAATGATTGGATTTCTCTGTATCCTTGGAAACAGTAAATTATGAATTTATATGTGCGTTTAAAACTCAATTTTTTGTTTCCATTTTTGAAACAGGGTTTTTACTGTGTAGCTAAAAAACATATTTTCAATCAGTTAACTTATGATATTTATGCTCTTTAAATTTACATTAAGCACTGTTTTGTAAAAATAAAATAAAAATATCAATAAGAACACCGGATTATATATCTTACTGTTCTTTATATATATATATATATATATATATATATATATATATATATATATATATATGTGTGTATGTGTGTGTGTTTATACACACACACACATATATATATATATATATTTTGTGTTGTGTAATTTAATGGATGCTTTTTGTTAAGAATTTTTCATTTATTTAGTTTCGTTAAAACACAACGACGGTGCTTTATTGTTTATTTTTTATATTTAGGAACATTTTCCTGGTTCCCGGTACATATTTAAATATGGATATCAATTGTACAATTTTTAGTACATTATGTTTTCATTATCAAATAGTTTGTGGTGTTTTATGTTTTAAAATATGGCGTCTTCATATCTCATGTCAATTTTTCACAATTTACAATTTAATTATTTCTTTAGCAAGTTTTGGAATTTGTGCCACAAATCTTCAAATGTAACTATCAGCTTGGCACAAGTGGACCGTAACTTATTGTACCACATCACCAATCCCGTCGGCTTTAACTAAAAACTTTACAAATCCATGGCGAAACGCCGAGTCCAATGTTGCGGTTCAACAATGGCGTGTTGATTATCTTTAGCTCTTATAAACAATGGAAGAGACAGACACTTAACTGAATGTGAATGTAATTTCAACCAGTGTCGCTTGTAATAAACATATCGAGCCAGATATCTTTAGTTTTAATAATTAAAGACCCCTGGTCGACCAATGTACTGTTCATGATTAGTGGTAATGGCTTCCATCAAGTTTTCCTCGTCGACATGTAACATCCGTAGTTCGATGAAAACATTTTTTTAGCATTTAACCCCAAGCAAGGCGGGAAGCCACTAGCACGCAAGGGGTTACAGAGTTGGAACTAGAACAAAGAGGAGTGATAGAGGAAAGGATGAAGAGACGGTTAGGGGATAGATCACGACATCTGGAGACGTCGATTGACGTTACATTTGAATAGTTGGAGATTATATTTATCAGGAAAACAAGAAATGGGGAAGAAGTTCCGCAGGCGAGAAGTGCGAGACATGAAGCTATTGGAGTAGAAGAGACGACTACATTTAACAGTTTCGACAGTGAAAGAGTGAAAGTGAGATGCCAGCCTAGTTGAACGCTTAAATTCATGAAGTCTGGGAACCAGCGAAATCAGCTCATCGGAGCAGTTACCGTGAAAGTATTTGTAAAAAAGACAGAGGGAGGCAACGGCGCGTCTGTGAGAGAGCGGCTGCAGACGAGATGCCAGATCAGGGCCAATTACATTGCATATCCATCTTTAGATTTTATCAAGGACCTTGAGAAAATTAGAAAGGGCTCCAGAGCATATTTGGAAGCAATACTCCATGCAAGGGCCATTTGTAGATTTGAAGGATCGACTCCGGCGAGAAAAATTTCCCGGGCGTGGCATAGAGAGCCAAGTTTCCTCGAAGTGGACGAAGCTATTGACTCAATGTATTCGTTCCATCTCAGGTCAGTGGACAACATGAGACCGAGCAGTCGCAAAGAGGTGCTCTCTTGGAGTTGGGCGTCAGACATTCTAATGGGAGGCAGGGATGGTTCTCTGTGGTGAGTAATAGAGAAGTTTTGTTTTTGAGGAATTAAAGTTAACCTGCCAATTCCTACCCTAGTCCACAACCGATTGGAGGCCCTTTTCAAGACAAACGGCCAGGTTAGTTTTGTCGGCGACACTAGATTTGTTTTTGAAGCAGGAGTAAATAGTAGTGTCGTCTGCGTAGATGCCTACTTGGGAACCTATGATATCAGGAAGATCGTTAATGAAGATAAGGAACAGGGTAGGGCCACAATATCCCCACTATTTCAATTATCTTGCGCCTTTCGAACGTCCAAATGATTCAGCAAATATCAGAGTACAACTGCTGTTTCGACACCAAAAATTACATTTATATACACCTTCCATCTGACTTTTGGCACGTCAATGTATCTACTAATAAGCGTTAAAGCTATCTATTTAGGTTGCTTTTTAGTCGGTACACATGTTTGTGTTGACCACCGGTTTTTATTTTCTTAAACAGGTAAATTAATATCAACCGGCATAGATCGAGAGATCCTATTAATACTAATTCAAGTGTCGAAGAGAAGAAAGCGGAATTTCAGCTCAAACACATGTGCCCATTAAAAATAACATAATCTAAAAAGAAATGACATCGTATTAAAAGTGCATTTAAAGATGGCTATATCTATCTGTCTGTATATCTATCTGTCTGTCTGCATGTCTTTCTGTCTCTGTCTCTTTGTATATATTTATCTATATCTACCGGTTAATATCTATCTATATATATCTCTTCATATCTCTCTATCTAGTTATCTCAGTCTGTTCATATCTATCTATCTATCTATCTATCTATCTATCTATCTATCTGTCTGTCTGTCTGCCTGTCTGTCTGTCTATCTCTTTGTCTGTCTGTCTTTCTGTCTCTGTCTCTTCGTATATATTTATCTATCACTGTTAATATCTATCTATCTATCTATCTATCTATCTATCTATCTATCTATCTATTTATCTATCTCTGTCGCTTCATGTGCATCTATCTTTCCGTTTATATATAGCTAGCTAACTATCTCCGTCTGTCCATATCTATCTATCTATCTATCTATCTATCTATCTATCTATCTCAGTGTTTTCATATCATCTATCTATCTATCTATCTATCTATCTATCTATCTCAGTGTTTTCATATCTATCTATCTATCTATCTATCTATCTATCTATCTATCTATCAATGATAAGGTAAATAACAATCAGGAATGTTTTTAAGAGGAAACGTTCTTTATCTTATTCTGTCGAGTTACAATCCATATTTTATCTATAACTGATTCCAACGTATCTATCTATCTATCTATCTATCTATCTATCTATCTATCTATCTATGTGTGTGTGGAGAGGTGCGGAGACAATCTCCGAGGAGAGAAATGAAAATGAAAAAAAATTAATTCTGTGCAAAACACCGGATCAAAAGGGTAAACGTCAATGAAATAACAAAACAGAAAAAAAAAAACGAACAAGTTGGGGATGGTGGGAAGATGATGAACGTTTTCTGTTGAATCAAAAATAGACGAAAAATATTTACTAGTCAAGGAGAAACAGTGCAGTGAAATTATTTCAGATTTTTTTTACGATCAACATTTTTTCCACTCAAGAAGAAAAGGCTAGCGAGGCAGCGCAAGAGACGGGTTTTATTCCAGAATACACAGGAACTTGATTGACCAATATTCTGAGAGCGTTATAGATGGCTTTAGTTGATTGCCAAGTCATCAGTGGCGTCTCTATGGTTAGTCCACACATTGAAATTAGAATGCTGATGAACTTAATCTGCTAACAAGAAAAAAGTCAATTCATATTTTTGAAATTAAAATGTATCCCAAATATATATATATATATATATATATATATATATCTGTGTGTGTGTGTGTGTGTGTGTTTGTGTGTGTGCATACTCTCAACAAAATTACATATCAGACTAGTCGCTACACATTATTATATATGGTTCTGTTGTTAATATTACAGTCTCTCCCGTGTTGTGTCCTGGGTAAGACGTTAAACTACATCCGCGTCCTGGGTAAGACGTTAAACTACGTCCAGCAGCAAAGCCCCTGATCAGGAGGTTTTGAGAAGCGTGGAACCACCTCTTAATTGCTGGTGTTCCCGTGTCCACCCTGACTCGGTGTGGTAGCACCTGTTAGGGTCCCATCTATGGGCAAATAGTTAACTATTACCAGCAATACTTATTTGAAAAAAATTATTACCAGCAATACAATTTTGAAGGAAATATATTACCAGAAACAGATTTTTGACAAAACAAAATATTACCAGCAATAAAAATTTTGTCAGCGTTAAATAACCCGTTGAGGTTGATATGCCGTAAAACAAAATAAACCAAACCAATCTAAACCAAAGAATACATACTCTATTCATACGAATCTATCCTAAAAATGTTGTCGGCGTTAAATAACCCATTGAGGTTGATATGCCGTAAAACAAAATAAACCAAACCAAATTCTTTCGTGTTACGACGTCGCAAATCTGCATTATGAATTTACGACCTGTGTCTAACATTCTGCGACCGTTATCATCGCATAGCAATATTCTATGTCAACATAATAGAATATCATCTTTGATTGTGAATATCTTTATTTAAATGTCCATAAAACCACACTGAAGATGTCTTATGTGAGCTGAAAGCTTAGATCAAGGAACAGCATAATGTAAAAATATCCAAATGTTGGACAATTTTTGTCTTTATTTTCACCCGAAATTAAAGCAAATATACGAAATTTGAAACGGCTCATGATGAAACATAATAGACATTCGTTGTCTGTTATATTTTACAATATATATATATATATATATATATATATATATATACCCAAGTATATGATTGGTGTATACTGAATAAATTCCAATAACCAACAATTAATATTCTTAAAAGAGTGCTCAATACAGAGTAGAGCGAATATAATTATTTATTTAAAAATTATAACCTAAATATGTTATAAAATCACTACAAAAATAGCCACTTTGTTTCAACATCTCTGGTGTCTTATCAAGTGATTATGTTGAATGTAGATTGTAGAATAAATGTTTTAAAAGGTTCAATTTAATTAACCACCTTTCGTAAGGGGAAACGCTGTTACATGAGCTGAAATGACCAATCAAAATACAAGTATACGAGAATTCAAAAAACTTGACAACGAAGTAAGGTTATAGAAACTATTAAATGCTTTAAAGTTAGGTTTATACTAAAATAGAATTTATTCTAACTAATAAGTATTAAATTGTACGATAAAATTTAAAATTAAAATTAAAAACTACCCATTTCAAAAAAGTAAATTTAATCTATATTAAATTTAAAATTTTAAAATTATTGAGCAAAAAATACATATGTTATTCTATTCATTTTGTTTCTATTGAAATTACGTTGGAATAAACGTTAAGATCGACTGCCCTTAACTTAATGACAACATAGATGAAAGTGTATACATGAGATTATGTCATCTAGCGAAAGACAGTACAAACACAATCAGATTATAATACATAAGCACGCAGATATATTTAGATATATGCGCACACAAAAAAGTGACAAGACAGGAAATATTTGCGGATGACTATATATATATATATATATATATATATATATATATATATATCCAAATGAAAGAAAAAACAGATGGAGTAAAATTCCACTGTTCATAGCATTTACTTTTTTGAAAAGTGCTCAATACAAAGTAGATCAATATATTATTATTATATTTTTATTAGAAGAGAATATAATAAAAAGAATTTTGAAATCGCTAATCACAAGCGTTCATGCTTCAATAATTTGATTGCATTTCTCTAGCAATGGTACGTTACTGGTGTTTAAATGATTTTAAAGAAATTTAATTATTTTCCGCAATCGTCAACGATAACATTGTAACGAAAAAATAACTCACCCACCTCCACCCTCAGAGCTTATTTTTCTATTTAGCGTAGATCTAACATTTAATTGGTTAATCAAGACATACCACAAGTCTTTTTATTAATTCTAACCTCATGCCTCTCTCCTTTAACTTTCAGAAAAAAGGGTAACACTTTTTTAAAAATTGTTCCTTAAAAATCATTTAATCGTTAGTTACTTACCATCGCCTGAAAAATACAATCATATTATTGAAACATGATAACGTTTGTGCAGCGATTTCCAGATATTTTTATTATAATCTCTTATAATAAAAATATTATATATATATATATAATATATATATATATATATATATATATATATATTAATAAATATACATAATACTTGACGCCGACAGTACGACTCAGAACTGACCGTTATCTGGTTAAAATTTTTTGGTTTATGATGTTAGTTGTATAATTAATTAGTGTGTGTGTGTGTGTGTGTGAGTGCGTGTATGTGTGTCTTATGTTTATTTTAATACCTATACTTAAGTGGTATAAAAACCCGGATAGTACAATTTACAAATAAAAATATGTTTAAACAAACTGGTATCTGGTGAAAATTTGGGAAAAAAGAAAAGACTAAAAACATGCGAAAGAAATTACCCAACGCCGTAATGCGAAAAGCCATAAGAAAAAAAAATCGAGTAAAATAAGAAAATATATAAAGTGCTCACTACATTAAGTCGAGTAGGGTATTAAAAAAAACCCTAGTGAGCCACAAATTACCTACCTAGGTTTCACCTAAGTTGATCTGGGCAAAATGAAGATCCATTTCAACCGAGGTACGTAGTTTCTGGCTCACTAGGTTTATATATATATATATATATATATATATATATATATATATGTGTGTGTGTGTGTGTGTGTGTGTGTGTGTGTGTGTGTGTGTGTGTGTGTGTCTGTATTTATCTTCTCACTTGCACGGCATTTATTTCTATTAATTTTTTGATTATATGTAGATATAAATATATATATATATATGATTATATATATATATATATATTAGATTATATATTAGATTATATATATATTATATGATTATATATATATATTATATGATTATACATATTATATGATCATATATATAATATATATATTATATGATTATATATATATATATATATATGATTAGATTATATATATTATATATATTATATATATATATATAATATATATATATATTATATATATATATTGTATTATTATATTAGATTATATATATATATGATTATATATATATATATATACATATGTCTATATGATTATATATATATATATATATATATTTATTTCTAGTATTTTTTCATTATATATATATATATATATATATATATATATGAAGAAATATATTTTTTGGGATAATGTGCTCAATATCAGAGATAGAGCGTGTATAAACATAAAAGTATAAATACTTTTCTTGTCTCTTGGTCACTTTTTCTCTTCTTTTTATGTCTCTCCTCGCTTTTTTTTTTATCCCATTCTTTGTCTTTCTCTTTCACTCTTTCTATCGTCAAATCGGTGTCTCCTATAAACGCAATTCCGAAATTTCTCGTGTTAGGTATGCAGATTTAAATAATAAACTCGTCAGCGAGCAACCACCTGTCATGACCTGAACTCCACCGCTGCCACCTCATCCCCCCCCCAAACTGAAAAGGCTCATGATCCACCACCAGAACCACCACCGACACACTGCACCAATTTTAGTTTTCTGCACGCATATACGCTTTCTGATTACACCCCACGCCCTAACGTTATCGCTCTGGCTCCACCATTTTTCGGCTTTCTACGAAAAATCCCTGTGGACCTCTTCTTGGTGAACAGCACCACCAGAAGAAAATCAGACGTTCCGCGCGCGGACTGGCGCACATTCGACGTACAAGCAAAGATACGAAGAGAATAAGTAATCGTTCGTTCATGTCACTTGCAGATTCCTTTGCGTTTGACCCCCCGCCCCCAATCGCCCGGGGGAGATAATAATTGAGTGTACCTACATCGGCTAGCATCAACAGCCACTTTCCACTGTGTAACATTTGCTACTCTCGCTAAGTCTTGTTTGCTGGTCTAAGGGAACATTTTTCATTCCTTCTAATTCACCATATATGAACAAATGTTCTTTATTTTCGCTTTCTTTAAACGGGCTTCTTTAAGATTACCTGCCTCTTTTTTTTCTGTTTTGTTTTGCACTTCTTCTTCTTCTTCTTCTTCTTCTTCTTCTTCTTTAGCTTCTCATTGTTATTATTATTTATCTTCTTTTTGTCACTTTCTTATTATTTAGCATTTCCTCTTCTTCTTCATCATCATCATCTTCTTCTATTCAGCATTTTCTCCTAATTTCTTTCTTTGTTTCTTTCTTTCAAACCCTGTGCATGTCAAATTTGGTTGAAATCCAAGACTAAGTTACTAGTTCATAGAGACAAACAGAAGATTTCCTTTTATTTCTAAAATGGCATGACTAAACAAATTTTAAAAAAATGAAAATTTCATTTTGAGATGCCACAAGAGCAGCTGCCTAACCCAGACAACTGTATTTCTGTAAACAAAACTGAAACGCAACTGAATGGCAGAATTTTGATTTAAGTGTAGTATCTGTTCTTCATCTCTTTGCCCTATTTTGTCTACAGGCTGTTTATGGAAAAATTTTGAGGGATGCCTGGTGCCGGAGATTCCCACTCTGCATCAGCACCTCCCACATTGTACTAAAGGTGGAGGGTAAGGAAATACCGACGCTAAAATAAATATAAACGATAAATATAATATATATATATATATATATATATATATATATATATATATATATATATATATATATATATATATATATATATATATATATATCAATTTATGGTGAAATTTATTTATATTTTTGCTTGAATTTTTCTTTTTGTTATATATATATATATATATATATATATATATATATATATATATACGTGGACTATAATTGGGAAGGTTGTGCCCATATTCACTAGAGTACTTGGAACATTTTCAGAGAATATGTTATGAGATTAAAAATTCGATGGAAAGGATTCGGTTCAGTGCTGAAATAATAAAAAATAGTCGTGGATAATTGAAATGACTTGCTATCACTTTCCCTTCAAGGACAGCCTCTGATAAGGAAAGATAATTATAGTTTATGTAAATCCAGGCCCTACAATACTGGTCAGAACTTTGACGACCTTGACCGTGTTGGTGTGGTTTGACCTCCTTAACGTGGAATCATGTCAGTGATGGATTGTCATTAAGTTTTGGATTAAGGCCGCAAAAAATACGTGCCAAAACCAACAGTTCGGTTGAGATATTATAGAAGTCAAGAGTTGAAGCCCCTTTCTCCCCAGTGCAGGAGGACAAATCAGGGAAGGAAGAAAGTATAGGCAGCTGGCTGACCTGTTGACATCCGCTTTCTTTATAGCCTTCTTAAAGATAACATGTCTACTATGTACCCCAACTAAATTAAATCTAATTAATATAAACTAGGAAAAAATTGTCTATCATTGACTGAGTCAGTTGATGCAGCGTTGGGACCCGTACTGAGGGATTGCCGATGAGAAAGAAATATTTACATTATTTGAAACTCAGATAAATGTATCTATCGTATGTGCCATCGCAAATTTAATACAAGGTTTAACTACTCATATTTAAAATTATATTTCATTTCACTCCAGTATGCCATGTCCTGAAGCTTTCCGCCTGAAACGTGGAGCTTATATTTTCGTTCATGATAACTAAGAGACTCTTCTCATCCCCTCGTTGGGGGTGAGTGATACTATTGAGGATAATACGGGTACTTTCTTACGCTTGCAATCCAACTGCAGCCGGTTTAGTCAAGTGAATCTGCACTCAGCGGCTGGGAGGCCTCCTCAAGTAAATCTTGTACCTGGCTTGCTTGACGGTCTGATGGCGTACTGAGGGCAAAGTCTATTCTGGTATGATCAAGGGTGATACAAACCGTACATCCTATAGTTTACAGTCAATGGTTAACAATCCGATAGTGACCTTGACGCAATACCTTTTTGCTTCAAAGACACATGAAACATGAATGAAAATCATTCGTAATCTTTCTTTGTTTGTTTTGTACCTTAATGTCGTTGAGGATCATGGCACTCGCCAACGTTCTTTCTTTCTTTCTTTCTTTCTTTCTATTCGATTCCAGTTGCTACCTTTATTTTTGTCGTCATCTTTCTTTATTTCTTTCTTTCTTTCTTTCTTTTTCTTCTTTCTTTCTTTCTTTCTTTCTATTCTGTTCGAATTGGTACCTTTCTTCTTTTCATCCTCTTTTTTTCTTTCTTTCTTTCCCTCCCTCTTTCTTTCTTTCTTTCTTTCTTTTCGATTCCAGTTGGTACCTTTCTTTTTTTCGTCACCTTTCTTTATTCCTTTTTCTTTCTTTGTTTCTTTGTTTCTTTCTTTCTTTCTTTCTATTCTGTTTGCGTTGGTACCTTTCTTCTTTTTGTCATCTTTCTTTCTTTTTTTCTTTCTTTCTTTCTTTCATTCATTCTTTCTTTCTTTCTTTCTTTCTTTCTTTCTATTCTGTTTGCGTTGGTACCTTTCTTCTTTTTGTCATCTTTCTTTCTTTTTTTCTTTCTTTCTTTCTTTCATTCATTCTTTCTTTCTTTCTTTCTTTTTTTCTTTCTTTCTTTCTATTCGATTCCAGTTGGTACTTTTCATTTTTTCGTCATATTTCTTTCTTTCTTTCTTTCTTTCTTTCTTTCTATTCTGTTCGAGTTGGTACCTTCCTTTTTTTGTCCTCTTTCTTTCTTTCTTTCTTTCTTTTCTTTCTTTTCTATGAGTAATACTTACTTCTTTATAAATCCATTTTCCCTTTGAGAGAGGTGTTCTTCTATCGATTAATTTTGACTAATCCACTGGGTTACTTGGAGCTTTTCTCTTTTTACTTTGCCTTTGAGGTGTCCTTCTTATTAATCCCGAGTAATGGCCGCCATGAATAAGTGTAATAGGCAAAGACAATCAATCAAATCACAAAATAAATAAATGTCGTTTTTAAGGAAACATATCAAACTGCCAATTATATACTAAACGAATGTTATCAATTGGATCAAAACGAACCGTCCGAAAAATAGACGTGATTAGTTGAAAATAATAAATGAAAGCGATTGTAATTCAATAATGCCAGAGAATTGTACAAGTATAAATCGGGAGATATCTTTGAGAACAAAAAGGTAACATAGTCCAAAATTATTTTAAAATTAAATTCAATCGCCCACTGTAGATCAGGAGACCAATCTAATCACTGTACATTAATAAAAACAAAGTTCCAATAGATAAATATCTTGAAAAGAATTTTGGAAAAATGAAGAACTTGATGGTGGTGTCGTTATAGGAAAGTTTTGCGATAGTTCGGATGCTTCGTCTAAAATGACAGGAACAAATGCAAATCGTAAGATAGAGCATTAGTTAAAATATTCCTGGTTTCCGGCATTTACGTTTTAAAATCCCTAGAGTGTGTGTTCTGAAGTCACTTTCATTTTCTTAGAAGAAACGGAGAAGCGATGCGGAGATGAATAAGTCTGATATGAATTAACTGATACCAAATATCTCCTCAGCGTGTAAAGTGAGATGAGAATAATTTACCGCTATGGAGTGAATACCGGCCTCCATTGCAACTTCCGACAAGTTTACGAAGTAGACGACAGGCACCTGAAGATGACCACAGGCTATAACAGTCAAGATGAGACTGTCTGTCTTAATCATACAGTAGATAGTAATAAACTTTGCTTATCTCAAATAATCCGACAGTGTATATTTATTGATATTTATTCATTTTTATTTCAGATAAATAATGATTTCCGTAAGTCGTAAGAAAGATAAAACCTCAAGAGAGAAACAAAATGTTTTAAATCTATCGAGTGAAGGGAAATTTGCCAAAATGTTGTAATAGAAATAAGAAAGTAATAGAAATAGTGGCAAGATGGGTACAAAAATGTAGCTTTACATATGTTGCAAAAAATAATTTAACAAGCAGTAAAAATGTAATTATCAATAAAAATGGACTAACCAGAACGAAAATGTATGAAAAAACCACTTTTCCTTGGGTAAACAGATAAAATATACAAAATATTAAGAATATTGGCTGTTAAGATTAAATTAAACAAACTTTTCTAAATAATCCTTAAGAAGAAAAATGAGTAACTTCAGCCATGTTGTACATGAAAACTCATGAGTATTTTAGTGATGAACGGAGAGCTACATTGGATGAACCTAAAATCAATAATAGGAACAATGGAATAAGGTTATTAATTGTGTTGTAGGTAGTAACATTTTTAAATGATTTCAATATAATAAAAAAAATAGTAAGTGCTTCAACAAGTCGTTTTTCGAAGGTTCAATTACAGACATTAAAACAACCTTGCATGAAGGTTTGTTTTGCGCGAGTCTATTTATGCTAGACAATTCTCTTTTCCATTTGACTGTTGCCCACCTTTCCAAAATTTCTCAGAGAAAGTAAATTAGTGGAATGACCCCAGTTGTCTCCAGATATTAATCCAACAGAAAACATGTGGACACTTATGAATGCATCCGAGAGCATAAAGCATTATTTAAGCAAAGATCCTCGAGAAGAAGAAAAAACTAATGGAAGTAAAGTTTAAAAAAGTAGAAACGCTAATAAATCAATGGATAAAAGATCATAGATTTTCAAGGACCCCATGTTGACAAGTAAATTATAATAACAATGATATATACATATATATATATATATATATATGTGTGTGTGTGTGTGTGTGTGTGCATGTGTGTGTGTGTGTGTGTGTGTGTGTCTGTATTAAATAAATAAATCCTAATGAGCCAGGTACTACCTACCTAGGTTTCACCACATGCGATCATCTGGTTGAACTGGTGAATTGTGCTATCCAGGTTTTTTCACACATCGAGTTCAAATACATTTACATTTTATATATATATATATATATATATATATATATATATATATATATATATATATCTGCGGGTGTGTGTCCGCTTAAGAAAATAAAGCGACGGTCCCTTTCAGCTGAGGCTTCGAATGCGCCGACTGCATCTGCGCAGATGGATCATAAAGTGAGATATCCTGGTTATGACGATAAAGTCCATCTGACAGAAATGCCATCTTATCGGAAGTTTTTGAGGATCCTCAAACCACCACGTAATTGCTGTTTTTCGCACGTCCACCCAGACATGTTGTGGTAGCACCTGTTACGGTTCCTGCTATGAAGCAAAATATTAAACGCGCAAACTAGGGTCAAGACACTATGAAAATATAAAAAAATAGTTTTTTTTTAGTAAAAATACCAGCAATACATTATATAAACACTTTTATAAACACTTAAGGAAACAAATCAATGAATGGCCTCTAAACCGACATGGAGATGACAGCATTGGTGCAACCTTTAGGAAGAAAATGATTCATTCTTAACAGCAGACCGAAGAAAACAATGGTATAAGAAGAAATTAATTATATATATACTAAGCCAGGTAAAAAAAAAACAATTATATGGACAACGCTACAATAAGCAACTGTATAAAAGTCGAAAAAGAACACCGGATGGCATCAAATCTTATTCCATATTTAAAAGCCTAAAACCGATTCAGCTTTTTAGTGGACTTATCCTAAAGTGAATATGAACAAGGAAAGTTTCCCCCAAATATATCAAACTGATGGGTGTCAAGTATTTGCTTATTGTATGCAACGTCGAAATGAATATTGATTAATTGCCAAAATGATCTAAGTGAAGAGTGCTTTCACCCCAAGCAAGGGGATTAAAGTCATTAGAATGTAAGAGATTACTGAGAGAGAATGAGTACAATTAAAAAAAAAAAAACAGAATTCAAAAAAGCAGATAACATTGCATTTACATTTTTAAAGATCGTAGTTGACAGGAAAGCAAGAAGTCATGCTGTCTGGGAGATTGCATCTCCCAAAATAATTAAAAATAGAATTTAATTTTTACATCGGGCACACATGCACCACACGCTCTCGTAGGTTGACTTGTCACCTGTTTAAACTTATACACTTCATACACATAGCGGACAGGACATCACAATAAACCAAAATATAACTATCAACATCAGAAAAATATTAGTGGATGATACAAAACCTAATACAATGAAAGACTGAAACATACAAAATAATCAGCCCACATTAAATAAAATATCTTTCACCACAAGAGCCAGTATCTTGAAATGTATATGATATATGTTTAATAATAAGTGTATATATATATATATATATATATATATATATATATATATATATATATATATATATATATATATATATCCATCCTCTATCACACCTCTTGCTCCCACTCTGTAAGCCTTGTAAGGTGTGATAGAGGAAAAGGATGAAGAGAAAGACAGGGAAGGAATAGATCAAGGCATCTGGAGATACCAATTGACATTGCATTTGAATAGTTTTGTCTCATTCGCTCTCTTATAGCTATCAGGGAAGCAAGTAAGAGGAAGGGAGTTCCACAGACGGGAAGTGCAAAGTAGAAGAGACGGCTACATTTAACCGATTCGACAGTGAAAATGTGGTACTGATGCCAATCTAGTCGCACGTTTAAATTCATGAAGTCTGGGAACCAGCGAAAGCAGCTTATCGGAGCAGTTACCGTGAAAGTATTTGTAGAAAAGACTGAGGGAAGCGACGACACATCTTTGAGAGAGCGACTGTAAAAGAGATTCCAGATCAGGGCCAACTACATTGGATATCCTTCTTTGGACTTTGTCGCAGACCCTAAGAGAAACAGCGGGGTCTCCAGATCATATGTGACAGCAAGGGCAAATGATTGATTTATAGATTTGAAGGATGCAATCGGACGAGAAAAATTTTTTGTCGCGATACAGAGAACTAACTTTCCTTGCGAAAATGAAGCTATTGATTCAATGTATTTGTTCCATCTCAGAGCAGCGGACAGTGTGAGACGAAGCAGTCGCAAAGCGGTTCTCCGGTGGTGTTGAGCATCAGACATACTAACGAAAAGCAGGAATGGTTATATATATATATATATATATATATATATATATATATATATATGAGAAAAATATACAGAAAAAACAAACAAAAATCTTAATATGCAATTTTGCTGTATTAATGTTAATATAAAGTCGACGTCGGACGTTTCGGTCTATTTAAGACCATCTTCATGGACATTTTCATTTAAACATAATTAACATTAGAACATATAAAAATTTAACACAAAAGACGATGGACATGAGCACAACTGATCCAAACAGATAACTGAAAGTTTTATATAATATCAGCGTTCCGTTTAAATATGATCACGTCGTCGTCACATGGGCGATGTTGTTAAAACGTATTCGAAGATGATTTCCAAATATTAAAATATTAAAAAAGTCGATTGAACTATTTTATATAAACAGTTCAAGAAATCCTTTCCGTTGATATATGAATACGCAGAGATCAATAGATCATGAAGATGGTCTTAAATAGACCGAAACGTCCGACGTCGACTTTATATTAACATTAATACAGCATAATTGCATATTAAGATTTTTGTTTGTTTTTTCTGTATATTTTTCTTTATACTGTCGGATCTATATCCATATATTTGCTTACACACACACACACACACACACACACACACACACACATACATATATATATATATATATATATATATATATATATATATATATATATATATATCCTTACTTCAGTTTCACAAAGAAAAATTCGATGTAGACAAAAGAATATTCCACGCCACAAGGGCACCATATTGGTTGTTGAAACAAAACACAAGCTTAACCATGGACTTCATACAGTTTATC